AAAAAAAATCTTGCAATAAAAATCTCGATTTCATGCTTCTTGTTTTTATGGCTGGATGGTTGGTTTACAATGCAGAATAGTGCCAACAGCATGGATTCAATTCCTGCATTGGCTGAGGTTACCACAAAGGACACTTCTTCTCAACTTCTCTTACCTGAGGCATGATAACCCTCAGGTTAAACCACCACCAGTCGTCTCTGTCTCTAATGAGAGAGCACCCCTATGGTCTGCTTGGAATGTGGCTACTTTATCTTTACCTTCATTTGTATAGAACCATAAAGCACCTCCCAGACAGTGGAGCACTTTTGAAGCTCAGTCAGAATTGATACAGAGAAAAGTGGCAGCCAATTTTCACCAAGCCAGATCTCACAAACATCAAATAAGAGAAATGACCATGTAATCTTTTTGATGGTTATCAGCTGAGGTTGGACTCATGTCCAGGACATCAAGGAATCACATAGCTCTTTCTCAAAGTACCATGGGATCTTTTAAATACATCCGATTTGACAGGTGGAGACAGTTGTATCTTTTGAATGAGATTTCAACCACGAATAATGCAACATTTCTACAGTACTGGTCAAAATTGTCACCCTAGTTTAAGGGCTTAATTTTACTTCCGCACAACCCAAGATGGAGAATGGGAAAAAATTGTGGCTGGAAGAGCTGCTCTTTTTTTTGAGGTATTTTCAGTGTTGGAGCTGATTTCCTTGAATTCTTGGAGTAGTAATTACTGTTTTACAAGCTGTTACATTGTTTTGGAACTTTGGGAGAAAAAAGATCAAAACAATGGCACTTTAAAAAGGAGGAAAGGAGACAAAGGTAGTGACCACATGGGATGTGATTCAAACGGAGAGAGAAACCTGCATTGCTGTCTAACCCAGCAGTGACCCTGCGCAGCAGCTGCCTTTGCTGTTTGGTTTCAGATATCTCTGGATATCAGAGTTTGTTCTAAGAAAAATAAACAAGCAGCGAAATTCACAGCTGACCTTGGAGAAACCTGTGGAAAGGAGCTCACAGCAGGGGAGCAGCTAAGTGGCTTTTTAAAATGTAATCTTACTGTTGTTTTCTTTTGCAAGTCTATAATAGTGAGTAGACTTTTTTTTATTATATGTTGTTACTGAGATCTGTCTCCTGATTAAAAATTTCAAAACATTGGTGATAAGCTAGCCTGGAGCAGTGTTTCTGGAACAGTAAGACTTGCTATTTTCTCTGTCTGTAGATTGTTAAGGTGCAAAGATGGCCTTTATTGGAGTGTTGTGCTCTTCCTGTTCGATGTGGGAGATTAGGGAGAGTTTCCTAATCTGAGTTACTGGTTATTATGTCTGCAGGAAGTGTGTTTGATTGTGAATCCTATTGGATTACTTGGCTAGGTTGGAGCGGCAGTTAGAGGCAATGAAGAGTTTACAGGAGTTGGGGGTGGAATGGATGGCAGTTACAGGGAGGGAGATAAACCTAAGATACAGTCAGGTAGTTGTGTTACCTCCAGGAAACATAGAGAGGGAGGCAGGTAGTGCAGGAGTCTCCTGTGGCTGTCCTCATCTCAAACAAGTATGCTGTTTTGGAAATTGGAGGGAGTGATGGACTCTCGGGGGAATGTAGCACTGACAGCGAGGTTTCTGGTACCGAGACTGGCTCTAATGTAATGAGGAGTAATCCAAGCGATCGATTGCGATAGGGGACTCTAGTCAGAGGCAGAAACAGACGATTCTGCAGCCGACAATCAGACATTGGAATGGCGTGTTGCCTCCCTGGAGCCAGGATCAAAAATATTTTGCAGAGAGTGCAGAATTTTCTTAAAGGGGTGAGAGACCTGCAGGAGGTCATTGTACACATTGGAACTAACAACATAGGAAGAGAAAAGGATGAGATTCTGAGGAGAGAATATAGCAAGTTAGGCAGGAATTTAAAAAGTAGGTCCTCGAGGGTAGTAATGTCTGGATTACTCCTGGTGCCATGAGCTAGTGAGGGTAGGAATAGAAGGATAGAGCAGCAGAATGTGTGGCTGAGAAGCTGGCGCAGGGGAGAAGGATCCACACTGTTGGATCATTGGAATGTCTTCTGAGGTAGAAATGACCTGTGTAAGAAAGATGGATTGTACCTGAATTGGAAGGGGACTAATACACAGGCGGGGACATTTGCTAGAGCTGCTCGGGTGGATTTAAACTTGTAACGGTGGGGTGTGCGGCACCCTGGGAGATAGTGGGGAAAGAAATCTGTTTGAGACTGGTACAGCTGGGAGAAGGAGCAAGTCAAACAGACAGGGCAGGCAGGAACAAAGTAGAGAATGAGGCTGGACTGATAAATTAAACTGTGTTTATTTCAATGCAAGAGACCTAATAGGTATGCAGATGAACTCCAGGCTTGGTTAGGAACATGAGACTGGGATATCATAGCAATTACAGAGACATGGCTTGGGGTGGACAGGATAGACCGGATCTAAAAGTTCAAGTTGTAAATTTGAGGAAGGACAATTTTGATGGTATTAGGCAAGAACTTTGAAAGCTTAATTGGGACGGATGTTCGCAGGTAAAGAGAAGGCTAGAAAATTGGAAGCCTGTAAAAATGAGATAATGAGCGTCCAGAGACGGTATGTCCCTGTTAGGCTGAAGGGCAATGCTGGCAGGTGTAGGGAATGCTGGATGACTAGAGAAATTGAGGTTTTGGTCAAGACAAAGAAGGAAGCATATGTCAGGTATAGACAGCAGAAGTCGAGTGATTCCCTAGAAGAGTATAAAAGCAGTAGGAGTATACTTAGGACGGAGATCAGGAAGGCAAAAAGAAGACATGAGCTAGCTTTGGCAGATAGGGCTAAGGAGAATCCAAAGGAATTCTACACATACATTAAGGACAGAAAGGTAACTGAGGAGAGAATAAGGCCCCTTAAACATTAGCAAGGCCACCTATGTGTGGAACCGCAGGAGATGGGGGAGATACTAAATGAGTATTTTGCATCAATACAGTGTGAAGCTGGAGGAACTTAGCAGGTTAGGCAGCATAAGAGGAGCGGGAGAGTCAACATTTTGGCTTGTGACTCTTCATCAGGACTGAGAGGAGAGTTTATATTTATAGTGAAATCGTAAGGGGCATGGAATGGGTAAATGGGTAAAGGGAATGGGATGAGCGAGTCCAAAACTAGGGGGTGTACATTTAAGGTGAGAGGGGAAAGATTTAAAAGGGACCGAAGGGGCAACTTCTCATGCAGAGGGTGGTGCGCGTTGTTTTCAGAGGAAGTGATGGAGGTTGGTACAACATTTCCAAGGAATCTGGATGAGTATATGAATAAGAAAGGTTCAGAGGGATGTGGGCCAAATGCTGGCAAATGGGACTAGATTTATTTAGGATATCTGGTTGGCATGGATAAATTGGACTGAAATGTCTGTTTCCATGCTGTATATCTCTATGACTCTATGACATATTTGATTTGAGTCTTGAAGCCACAACAGAGAGACAAATTGGGTTTTATGTGAGGCATGTTAGTATTGAGCTCAATGGTAATATCCTTGACTCAGTCAGGAATTTCTGATAGATGTTTACATTTAAGCAAATCTCAATATTTCCTTTTATCCTAGCATTGGTATTTCTCACAAAATTAATGTATGACAGTTAAGTTTCTTCAACATAACCAATTGATTATTTGTACGTATTTGAATGACTTGACTGTCAATGCAACCATAGTCGTTTGTTAGTGGGAGTGATTCATGATAGGATATTACACCTTGGGAGAGAAAATGTGTCTGTCCACTTTCGCCATCTAAAAGAAATGATAATAGTTGATTCCTGGAGCAAATCTGGTGCCATCTATAGACAGGTCCATTGGTTCTGGTGTACCCAGACCCTTGACTCAAACAGTATGTATGAAGATAAACAATATGTGCAACAAGAAGAAGCAGCAGGGAATAAATAGAAAGAATATTGTGGCATCGTTGTGTGTGTATGCGTGCGTGTCTCTTTCTTTATACATGTGTGTGTTTTATATATATTATATTGAAAGCGCCATATGATTGTATATGAGTAAGATAGTCTGTAAGTTTCTTTTTGTATTGTAAGAGGGGAAAAAAATCAATGCAGCAATCTTTCTCTTTCCCCTCATCCAATCCGTAATTGAAATGGAAAATCAAATGAACGCAGAGCAGATAATTGTTTTATCAATATTCCCTGCCTGCCCGACAAGGGTCAGTGCAGAATGATCATGAGCTGGGGATATGACAAGGACAAAATGTAAAATTGAACAGCATGGAGGCAATAAATCAGGCTTGACAAGAAATAGTGACCAGCATGTAGCTACACTGTGTAGGTGCCAGGCTGAGGTTTGTTCTCATCTGGCCACACCAAGTGAAAGTTAAACTCTGACATTTATTGGCTTCAGATGCTTCTGAAACTTTGTTTTTACTTTGTGAATGCTTTCTTTAATACCTTGCAATCAATATATGAAACTATATTTTGCAACAGCTGATATGCTCATATTTGTGCTAGGTTTGGTGTATGAAACAAATTCAGTGAATTTTTTCCATGGACATTTTTTGCACAAGTGGCAATCTCTTTATTAAAAAGACTTTAGTCATTCAGAAAAATTATCCTTTACAATGTCATAGAGATTGCTCGGAAATTGTTAACAGGTGCCTGTTTACAATAAACTCTCCTGCATTCTGTTAGAATACCCTGTAAGGGAATTCAAACAAAAACTGAAGCTTTCTTGTTTATTTTCCCCTCATTTTGTGTCCTGTGGATTTTGGTACATGGTCTGGTATTGCATCTGAGTATCTAGATGGAAGAATTTTGTATTTTTGTATAATTTGCAATAATCCAACCCAAAATTAATATTTCTCTTATTTCAATATGCATCTATGTGCTTTGCATTCCTATGGCTACTTATGGTAAAATCTGTGCAATCTCTTGAGGTGATTGATTTCCTCAAAGGATAATTTTTTTCTTCCAGTAACCTTGATTGTCGCCAAATGATAGACTGACTTGCTCATTATTTCCTTTTTATTATTTTTCAGTTCTTTTTATTTAAAAAAGAAGTCGAGGACTTTCGATCATATTCCTGAACATATTAACTTCAACAGTAGGAAGAGGAACTGGCAGAATATTTTTTTAAGTAGAAAGCTATCCAACTCAAGACCATTTCTATATGCTGTTTTGTCTGTATCATTTAGTTGCCATGAAGAAGTTCATGTGAAAAGGTGAGTCTCTCAAACTGGAATGCGTCCATTAAGCCATAATGCAACCATCACCAAACATCGAGAAGGAAAAAAAGAATTCTGTGTGGGACACATTGATGTCAAACCAATGAGTGCCAATTTCACTAAGCATATTAAACCGAAGCTGATTGTATTTGACACCCAAGTTTAAATACTGCAGTTCCCAGTTTTTATACAAGTTCAAAATAATGTCCAAATGTCTTAATTGTTCTTTACGATAACTACAACACTGTTTTTCTTATCTTTCAAATTCCATTTCTTTTAGATTATTTCTTACAAAAGAAATCACTAGAAACATAAAGGACGATTAAAGACCTGAAATTGCTGAGCAATTTTTCCAGAATACATATTACTTCAATAAAATCATGATCTTCATCTGCATTGTGGTTAGTATTGACTCAAGTCATTTTCACAGTCCCCTAGTCCTACTTCAAACAATCACACAAGAAACCGAGATTGTCATGGAGTAACGTGTATGGAATCTAAAAACAAAGCACAAATCTTGAGATGATTTTCAGAGCTGGACTTTAAACCCTTCTAGGAATGGCATAGAGGCTTGTAAGACATTGAGAGGAGACATGGGATAGAGGGCCCTTCACATTCCAGTTGTCATGACAATCTGTCAGCAGCAAGGATGGAGGAAATTGGCCCTCCTCATAGAGGCTGGTTGTGGCCAATTAAGGGCCGTTCTTGCAGCCACTGGCATTTAACACTGATGAAAGTAGGCCCTCTGTTGCATGGTGAAGACCCTGGGTGAATCCTGGTTACGTTAATTAAGGCTCAGGTAGGAAAAGACCCTCATAATTAAGCCCTTGGAGGGACTGCCCTCCATAACTTTTCCAGCCCATCATCAGAACTGGCATAACCTCCAAAATTCAGTCCTCAGTTATCCAGCATAGTGACTGACAAGATGGACTATTAAGCAGTCCTAAAATATCAACTGATCAAATAAAATGTCATGAACTTTCCATTTGAATGTCTCACAGACCAGACAGATGTAAATTATAGCATGTTGCAAGAGGTACATGTTTTGAAATTTATAGTCTGATTGAAGGGAAACACGCTAGCTGAATGCGCCATGTTAGCGATGGCCAATATCACCAGCATATTTTAATGTAATGCAAAACTATGTTATTTTCAAGTGAACTGGATTTTTAATATTTTCATTTTGGTAATGCTGCTACAAGCTGCACATTTAAAAAAATTGAACTCTACTCTTTGAAATAAACTAAATTATTTATGATTAAATGATCACCATTGGATGGAATATGCTAATCTTGGAAGGAAAATTCTAAAGTGACTCACCAGATGACATGTTGTGCAGAATTTTCCCCTCCTTGGATTGCTGTGGCAACAGTGAGAAAGTTAGAAAAATACAGCAAAAATAGAAAAGTCAGAATCTTGATGTCGAGAAATATTTTCCTGATGTTTGTCCCTTAAGCTTTAAATGCTGACTACCTTATTTCTGTGCATTTTCATATTATTAGTCTAACTCACCTTATTTATATGTCACTTCATATTTTCCTCTCCCCTCCTGAGAAACTTGATGGTGCAATTTACTGACATCAGTCGATATGGGTGACTGGTGGCTGCAACTCGCCAATTGCTTATCCCGGCCATCATTGGACTGTGTCTTCACCACAGTGCTCCTACATGCTCCATGGCCACTATCCTCAGTGACCTATCGTCTATGTAATTTGGCAGTGGCGGACTTCCAGCTGCACATCATTTCGGCCCAACTGACACACCACTTCAGATCTTCTGTGCTTTACTTTGGAGCACAGGTGCACCTAAGCCTGGCATGCTTGCACTAGGTATGGAGCTGGAGGAACACAGCAGGCCAGGCAGCATCAGAGGAGCAGGAAAGCTGACGTTTCGGGTCAGGACTCTTCTTCAGAAATTTCTGAAGAAGGGTCCTGAACCGAAACATCAGCTTTCCTGCTCATCTAATGCTGCCTGGCTTGCTATGTTAACTCCAGCTCCACACCTTGTTATCTCAGACTCCAACATCGGGCAGTTCTTACTATCCCTGATGCTTCTACTAGGTTGCTTTACATGGAGGGAAACATGCATCGACAGAGGATGCATCTTATGGCTCTTAGCTTTCTTTCTTTGCACTCAGTCAACTTGCGCTTACTTGGAGTTTGTGGCTCTGTGGCTTTCATTGCTTTTTAGCATTGAGGGTGGGATAGGCGGCTTGTCATGTGGGAAAGCACTGAACAGTCTGATTCTAATTCAGGGAGTTAGCCATGGTCAATCGGGCACTTGGTTCTACTAAAGTCGGGGACCCAGGTCCTTGCAAACCGGGAATTGGGCCACAGTTGCAAGTCTATTGCAAGCATTCCAGGGATTACAGGTTGATAATTTAAGGTGCTGTGGAGACAACATTCCAACGGCTGGATAATTTTTCCTGCAGTGAGACAAAAGGAGGGATTGTGTTTGATGGAAGTAGATGGAAGAGTAGTTAATAGTGATTCAGGAACAGAGAGGTGGTGAGCTGCCCTCGGTGAACAGTTAGGAAACACAGAGGACAGGCTTACACATATGGAGTGCAAAAGATCATTATGATAAAATCAAAATACTGCAGATGCTAGAAATAAAAGTAGAAAGTGCTAGAGAATCTCAGCAGGTCTGGCAGCATCTTTGGAGATAGAAACAGCGTTAACATTTCGAATCAGGAGATTAATAACCTTTTTCCTGCACTGCTGGACATTCCTTTAATTCTGGAACACAGCATTGACCCAGGCTACTATCTGGGTACATACTGGCTAGGTCTTTTGCTGTGGCCTCCTTTAGCAGTCTGCAGGAGAAAGGACTGACCTCGTCTCCACCAACCTGTCCGCTGGCACCTCCAGGTCCCTGTCTGTGAAGCAGGAAGGAAACTGCTTTTAGGGCCATGTCTTCAGTGATAATGATCAAGTTCTACAGCATTTCTGCTTTGCCTGCTACGCGACTGCATGAGAAGGGGGACCTTCAGCGCAGCATTTTTGGTTGCTGTGCTCAAATTCAAAGTGTTGACAAAAAACATTAAACAAACAAATATTTTGGCTGCAGGTACTTTTTAACCTGTATTACTAAGCACCTATGTCTAATGGGCCAGATTTTCTGAGGAGTGGCAATCTCGCACAGAGATTGTGTGGACCCTGCTTTGGAAAACGCAATGAATAGATTAACCAGGCCATTTGACATGGTAGACTGTTCAATTTGTGGGATTTAGAAATAGTCATCATGCTGAATACTTCAGGTCTCATTTACTTTAAATTTTATTAAACGTAGGAAAATTTGATTTGTAAAACCTTACCACTTTGTTCAAACTGATGTTTAAAAAATTTGTTAGTTGCTTAGAATAGTACAAAGTCTTGAATTTAACAAACCAATGAAGTGCATTCCTTTAAGGTAATTTCTCTGCCACAAAAGGTAGATATCTTAGGTATTATACTATTATAAATCAATCAATTAAATAATGAGTTCCTGAAACAGGAAAAGTAGCATATTTGAATTTTATTCTACTCCAGAGCTGATCCAGAAATTCTTGCAGTCCTGTTGACGGTGATGAAAAGCTTTATTTAAAGATTAATCCAAGCATCACAGAACATTCTCTGCATTGACAGACTGAACTTTGAACATAACCTAAAGTTTACTTGCTATACAAGCCCTAGAAAATGGTTGTAGAGCTGAAACTGACAGTTTCCTGTAGCTAAACTACAATAAATGCTTTAATAGAATGTAATTAAGAGATTCAATCAGTGCGCCGACAGAGATCAAGTGCTTTATGAATGGAGCTACGAGTTTCCATTGATCTATGAAGCACATTTTCAGTTTTTTATGAACTGAGCAATAGCAGATTGGTGCTCAGAATTTCAGTATAAACGGGTCACTTCTTTATTATAGGATTATTAGATCATTTAGTTGTTAAGTAATTTGGGATTAGGATTTCTTTGTTGTGGCTGTCCCGCATGTATCAGTATGATTACATTTAGGTACCTATGGAAGAGGATTACATTAGTTATGCCCTCGTGACGTTTATCTGAACTTAAGTGAGGTTATGTGCAATGTTGTGTGAATGGACAAAATGAATAATTTACAAAAATGAAAATTCACCATCACTTATTGGACCAGGCTGTCTAGTGGAGATCGTGCTTCTTAGTATTTGACCAATTTTTCTGACAAAGATGTGAATGTTGGTAAACTTCAATAAAATTGGAAGACAGAAGTCTATATCATCAGAATATGACATTAATTTAATACCAAATTACGAGAGTTTTGAAAGTGAAGTCTAGGATGCTTCTGTTGAGAACTATTATTCAGTGTTGTGTACAATTTAGTTTTGGCACTTGAGTTGCGACCATAGGAGTTTCAATGTGTACCCAGTCAATTGTTTTCCTTTCTAAGATAGATCTTTTTATTGAGAATTGATAGATTTTAGGAGATAGCTATCAATGCAAAATACCAGTCTGTAACTGTAGTTTCCTTAAACGTTGTTCTAATGGTTGTATACCTAGTAGCTATCTCCCACACCTCTGCAAAGGAGTCGATAACAGCAACGTAAACTTCAGAACAAGTATAAACCTTCCTGTATTTTAAAAATGTATCGCTTGTAGTTTTTTTATTATCTTTGCATGTTATATACAGTATTATTGATCACATTTTTTATGTCTGCATTCCATCCATTAACATGTCTCACCCATTTTTCTTTATAATTTTACAGTATTAGACTTTGTCTAATATTGTTCTTCAATAAAGAAGACAACTGATCAATAATTTTCTATTAGTTTACAAGAGCAAGGTTTCTAGTTGTTTCTGTTGTTTCCTCCATCTAGCTTCTTCCATCATGATTGAGGCCATGACTGTCTTGAATGAACTCAAAATTAGCACATTGAAAATCAGTGAATTATCTTCATTGAGCTAAGTATAGATGCCACAAGACTTGACCAAGACTGACTATATATAGTCATACCACTTCATTTTTGATCTTCCCAGTCTTTTTCTCAGCTTGGACTGATTCCATTTAAGGTACCAGTTTTTAGACATCACACACTGACCGTTACAGCTTGTCATAGCATATTCTGTTATTGTCTTTGGGCCATTTCTCATAACATTTGGCAGATGGAATATAATATGGGAATATGTTAGGTTGTGTGCTTTGGCAGAGGAGCTGAATATTCCTTCTGTTGACTCTGTCTACACTTCCCGCTGCCTTGGGAAAGCAGCCAGCATAATCAAAGACCCCTTCCATCCCGGTTATACTCTCTTTCACCTCTTCCATTGGGCAGAAAATGTAAA